GGATCAGAAACTCTGGGGATGGGAGTGAGTCTACCTCAACAAGCCTTCCAGGTGCCCTCTGATGCACGTGAACATGGGAGCACCACTTCTCCACAGCAATGAACCCGATGAGTTTGACCACACTGAGGAGATCATTAAAAATTCTGTTGGGAAGGTGGAAAATGACTGTTGGTAGGTACACAGAAAGCTAAGCAAATGAAACACAAAACTTTTTTTTTTTAAGGGAAATACAAGTTGCCTAAGAAAGCAAATATGTAATACAACTATATACCCAGCTCAACCAGGCAATACAATTGTGTGGTCATCAGAATGTGAGCACGGATAACGACGGAAGCAATCAGGTAATGCAGCCACACAACATAATAAACACTGTCTAAAACAGATGACTCAAGAATGAGCAGTGGAAGCCTGTGATTTAGAAGACAGGTGTAACTATCTGAAAATTGAAAACAGTGATGTCTGGGGAGCAGCATGAGGATGAGGGACCGGGCACTGCTGTTCTCATCACAGTCCTCTCAGGAGTATTCTACTTGGATCAAGTTGCCTGTGTGAATAACTGATAAAAATTAAAATCCCAAATCCAAAACACTGTGTTGGCAAAGCCAGCCAGACAGGGGCATTATACTGGGTCAGAGCCCACTGCTGGGTGTTCTCTGCCCTGGGGCGTCAGAGGTGGACAGAGAGCATCTACATTCAGAACACGTCGGGGAAAGCACACCAACCAGACCAGGGACAAAGCTGGGAAGACGCACAGGAATGATGAGGAAGGTCATGTGGGAAGGTCCGTGAAGGAAAGGTTGGGGAACTGAATCCTGGAGGGAGGGTACAGTTTTCCAGGAGCATAAGGAAGGCAGGAAAATACAATGTGTGTTTGGAAAACGCCAAGTAGTTCAATGTGGCCAGCCAAAGGGCTGGTCCATGCGGGGGCTACAGGGATAGCAGCCTGCCTTCTCCAGTCCAGACTGAGCTTTGGGAAGCAGCACCCGCAGGGTATGTAAGGCCAACTGGAGAGCCTAGAGGTCTGGAGTACTGACTGATGGTGGATCCCGGGCTTCTGTTTCCCTGCTTGTCCTGAGATTTTGTTACCACTAGTAAACAGAGATGAATTTCCTGTGAAGCTAATGCAGCTGGGGCTCCAAGGGTCCCGCCCTCCCAGAGGCTCTGTGAGGTCCTTAGCATAGTGTTCACATGGCCACATGTGAACGCCCTTTCAAGTGTGCAAAAATCAGCTGTTTTAACTGCAGATGTAACCACGGTCTCTTCCCACTATGACCCCCATTATATTTTGTGTCAGGTGGCAACGGAGTGGGTCCTGGCATTTTTGGCTACAGGCAAGTTGAGTGGAGATGAAATTTACTTTGGGCTTGATGGGAGATCTGCGGGGTTTGCCGTCACACCTGTCCGTAAGTTATTATTAGCCATCCTGTGTAGGAATGGCTTCCAGAAATGCTTCTACTGTCCACCACGCCGACTGACTTGGCCTGGGGACATAAAGGGCTGGGCCAGGGGAGCATGTGTGCATGAGCTGTGGCAACTGGCACATGGGGTCATGAAAGAAATAAGCAACCACATGGAACTAGAAGCCAGTCTGCAGAAAATTCTTCCATCTCTTACAACTAACATATAAAAGAAAATTGACAGGATTCTCAAATTTGATGGCAATCCTAAATATCTATATAAACCTACCCAATAATAAATGTGAAGCCTAAATAAACTTTTCTAAACTATCAGTAGTCAATTTCAATTAGTCGTGCTACAGGAAAGCCTGAACTTATCTTTCTATTGGCTCTGTAGAAAATAGCACAGAATCCTTGTCATTCGAAGGCACAAGGAGCATGAAACAAAAAAATGTGAAAAAAGTCTTACAAGAAATTGAAAAGCAGCTAAAGGATTACTTTTTATGCATTCCGATTTGTTAGCATCTTAAAATTTATACTGCTGTGATTTTTCTTATCCTAAATAATGTTTATACCTAATTTTGAATTTGTAATTTTGTATTTTTTTTTCTTTTAAAGATTTTATTTATTTATTTGAGACAGAGAATGAGAGAGAGAGAGAGAGCACATGAGAGGGGGGAGGGTCAGAGGGAGAAGCAGGCTCCCTGCCGAGCAGAGATCCCGATGCGGGACTCGATCCAGGGACTCCAGGATCATGACCTGAGCCGAAGGCAGTCGCTTAACCAACTGAGCCACCCAGGCGCCCCAGTATTTTTTTTTCTTAAAGAGGGCTCCTAAATGTCTAAGCTTCACGCCCAACAAAATCTGGATCTAGTCTTATGGGACGATGAAAAAAAGCAGTTTTCTAAAATACTTGTGTTCACACATCAAAGATGATAAACACCCATTTCGATGAATATTACTACTTGTATTTGTGGTGTGTGATAACAGTGGGACTAAAGTCACTGCCTTCCCCAAGGCCCCATAGCCGGGGAGGGGCTGCTGCAGGGGCCCCAGCAGGGGTGGTTGGGCACGCAGGAATGGGTGGTGGAGAGGCAAGGAAGAAGGGAGGAGGAGCCGGGGAGGCCACTGTGGAGAGGGCAGCACTTTGGGGCAGGCTGCTTTTGTGGAGACCTCTCAGGATGGGGTAAAGGGGCGGTGGCAGCAAAGTGTGTAGGACTGCCCTGACCCAAACCTATGTCTGAAAGATAAAGGGCATCGACATTTATCTCTTGGGAGGTCCCGCCCCGCCCCCCATGCCCCCACACTACTTTCAGCATATAGAACCCTCGGGACTCAGGAATTCAGCACACAGAACTGTCTCAGGAGCAGCTGAGAGGAACAAACTTAATAAAATAGCAGAACTTTGGGTACTGATGAGGGGGTGGGCATGTTGGGTCACAAGGCCACTGTAACTGACCAAATACTCCTTTAGCTAAGGAGGATTCAGAAAAGGATCACCACTACCTACCTTTTCATCCCTCTTTGGGCTATCCTCTGGGCTAAAGGCCAGATTTTCTCCAATCAGCACCCCATTCCCGTGAGAACGTTATTAAGACAATCTGTCCCACTTTACACAGGTTGCAATGACCTTGTGTGGCTTCTGTTTGTTCCAGCCATAGACCATTCCGGCCACTCTCCCCTCCACTGCCCGGCAGGCAGGAAGCATCGCATAATGCCCAAGACGGAGCCCAGGACTCTGGGCTCCCTGACCGGACTCCTAATGGCAGAATCTTTATTTTGCCCCTCCCCCACTCTCAAAAAAAAAAGTTTGTTGTTGTCAGGTTGTGAAAACTTAAGATATCTCTTAATAAGACCCTTAGAATTGTGCCTGCCATATTGCAAGTTCTATATAAGCATCTGTTCAATAAAATAGATGTTTTAAAGACACTTCTGTTTCTTCAAGGATTTAAATTTGAAAAACCATAGAAACCCATAACAAATCACCAGGGTTTACAGTGTAGTGTCAGAATCCTAAGCTGGCTTCTCCTTAAAGCCTCAAGGAAGAAGAGTTTTATGGTAGAACCTAAAAGTTACTAAATATCCTGATGATGCTCATTCTGGAAAGGAAGTGAGGGGCCTGAGAGGGAAGGAGGGGGAGAGCAAATGCTCCCTGCACATAGTGGATCTGCTTTCCAGGAAGAATGTCCTGCCGCTGCAAACTTCAGCATTCTAGCACTTAAGGTTGGGGGTCCTCCTTTTCCTATAGGAAGGAAAGGCAACAGAGCCAGGGGATGAAGTTTCACAACCCACCTTTTAAATCTTGCCTTCCTTACAGGCTGAATCTTGAATCCTTCAAACCACAGAGGGAGGGCCCTCCAACACAAAATGTGTCTACTCAAGTGTTGAAATTAACGTTTAAAGGGGATTAGAGGATTCACACCAACATAAAGCCCTGTCCACCGAGCACGTGACAAATTCAGGGTTGGTAAGTCTGACTTTAACACCTAGGAAGAACCAGCAGAGCATCTTCATATTGCTAGACCTGAAAAAGAAAATGCTGTTTGGATATAAAAAGTCAATCTGCTCACACTGCCACTTCTGTCCAAACCACCAGAACACAATCATGTACCTTAACAAGGCAGGAGTAAGCCATCTCCCCACTCTAACCTGACCCTGACCATCCTGGGGCAACCACCACCGCTCATTCACTGCACAAGGACTTCCAAACTTTACAATGTGTCAGGCACTGCTTGGGGTACTGAGGAAAAGGTGGGGAGCAAAACGCAAAAATGACAGTGAGAAAAGAGGAGCTGCACTCCCTTTTCAAACTCAAGTCGCAGGTTCTCTTTAGCTATGCTGCTTGATTTTCATCCTTCTTCTGGTCAGTGTAACAAGTTCCTCCAAACACTGAGGGAACCACTTTTCAGCTGTGGGCCGGAAGAGGAATCAGATTCGGGGTGCTTGAAGAAAAACAATCAAACAGCAAGCCCGCCACAGCTCCGGCGGCAGGGATTTAAACCTGGGGGCAACCACACCCACGTCCTGGCCACAGGATCTATTCAAAGGTCCTTAAAAACAAACAGCTTCGGCATTTAAGCCTGGGAGGGCTTCTTAAATCCCAGGACTCTGATTTGCATAGCCAATATATTCTAACCTACTCTCTTTGACGCAAAGGTCAAGTCACCTACAGTTAGACACTCAACTGCCAAAGGAGAGCATGCTTCATGCGTGGCTGCCACCAGAGAAAGAGGCGCTCACCTCTCCTGGCTCCTGTGACGGAGAAGGTAAAGGGATGGTCCGTGCCATAAACCAGTACAAAGATTTCTTTCACCATATCACGCCCTAGCACCCTCGGTCCGCGGATACCAGACGCCCACCGCACGCGGTCAGGCCTCGCCGGACCCACTCCGCACCCGGGGGCCGCTCCTCCTGGGCCGCACGCTGTGCCGGCCCGGCTGCCCTGAGCCCCGGAGGGTCTCCTTCCGTCCCACAGGACTTCTGCTCGGACTTGGCGAAGTTTCGAGTGGGCACCCAGCGGCCAGAGCGCCGCCCGGCCCGGGCCCGCTGGGGCTGTGCTCTCCAGGACCCTGCCGGGCGGGGGAGGAGGGCCGCGGCGCTCACCTGTCCCGCCCGCAGCGCCAGCTGCACAGCCGCCTCGAAGCACTCCTCCCAGGGGCCTCCGGCGGGCGCCGCCTCGTCCTCGCCGCTCGGCTTCATCGTGGCCTCGCCGGGCCCCGCCACCTCTAGCCCTCCTCGCCGGGCCCCCACCGGCTCCCGCCGCCCCGAAGCCAGGCTCCGCACTGCTTCCTTCTCGTCCCGCCACTCCGCGCCTCGGCCTCCGCCCGTCCCACAGCTGTGCCCGCGGGAAGGGCAGAGACCCGGCCGCCGCCAGGGGAGCCGCGCGGCGCGTCTCGCGTCCCGCCCGGGCCCTGCCCCGAGGCCCGCCCCTCTCCCCTCTCTTGGCCGCGCCTCCCACTCACAGCCCCTCCCAGCGTCGAGCCCCGCCCCCTTCCCCCGCCCGTCTGTACCCCGCCCCTCCCGGTGCCTAACACAGCCCCTCCAGCACCGACTCCCGCCCCTCCCAGAGAGGATTCTGGCCCCACGGGGAGCCCAGTTCCTCCTCGTCCCGGATCCCTCTACCTCTGGCCCGCCCCTAGTCCTGCCCTCCTCCCCTCCCCGTGCCCCTCCCCGCCGCGCGTCTAGCTCCTCGCTCCGCCAGGCCCCGCCCTGAGGCTGGCCCCTCCCCGTCAAACCCCGCCCCGCCAGCCCTCGGCCCCGCCCAGAGCCCCGCCCCGCCCGCTCCATGCTGAACCTTCCCCACCACCCTCCCGCGCTCACCGTCCCCCGAGAAGGGTGGGTGCTGGGGACTGTGGGCCTGGGACAGAAGCCCCGGAACACGACTGGAGCAAGGTCTCGGAGTGGGGGCAGTGCGCGCCCGTGGCTACGACTCCAGCCGGGCACCGGATATGCAGTGGGCGCCCACGCGTCTGCGCCAGTTGGGGGCGCCTCCGACCCTCTCGCCGGGTCCAGGCGGTCCGCGCGCACGTGGCCCGAGGGGCGGCCAGGCCGAAGAAGCTTCTTTCATCTGCTGACGGGTTGCTCTTCCTCAGTCGACAGCCACAGGACGCCGGGGTTGTCAGCCTGCTCGGCCACCCGCGGGCGCCCGCCCTCACAAAGCGCCTGTGTTCCCAAATGTTTGGATGCAAAGGAGAAGCCTTCACCCCAGCGAAAAACCACACACTACGATGACAGTGGGTTTTATAAACTGTCTGAACTCAGAACTCCGATGTGGAGCCCAAACTGTGACTAGTCTTTATTTGCAATGAGGAGCGACCTTTTCGACCTTGGATTCTTTAATGCTGCTGAACACTGGCACCACCTAAACATAAATACAAGGCATTTCCTGAGAAGGTGTCTCTAGTTTCCAAGAGTTTAATTTCATAAGCCGCTCTGCCTACCCTTTTATAAAATATGCTGACCCATATAAAGTTATTCTGGAGTGTCACTTCTCAGTCTGGGAGAACAATGGGAGTTTGTACGAGAACCTTGATGGGACGTATTTTACACAACATAACAAGGGAATAAATGTTTTTAGATTTTGTGAGCACTTTATGTCGAAACATCTTGTAAAGAAATTTTAGGTTTATGTGTAAGAGATGAAAATTACAAACAATAAGGAGGAATTAGGAAGCCAGAGCTGGGCAGCGCACTCTAGCCTTGCCCAAAAGCTTGGGAAACTAAGCCAAGAATTGCCCCAGCTTCCACAAAGGCCATTTGGGGGCAGCTAAAAGCGTGCTCTGCTCCATCCTTTTTGTTCCCATTTTTCTTGGTTTTCAAGATATGGAGCTAGACTTCTAAAAAATACTTAAGACTATGTTCTGGATGCTTCACTTTAAAACTAAATGCATTCAGTTGTTGATCTTCATGGCAGGTTTTCATTAGAGGCCCCTTCCAACACCAAGCAAAATTTGAAGTTACAAAATTTCTCTTTGGTGCCTTCTTAGTTCCCCTTTCTGTACACCTCTCCCCCCTACTCCCTGTCCTGGACCAATCTGGGACCTCAATTATATCTTTAGATAAGCTCTCATGCTTAGCCTATCTAAACATCTCGAGAAAAAGACTTCATAACTTCACTGATGAACTCTGAAATAGCTTAAGATAGAATTATGTGGTTTGGAGTATGAAGTTTGGAGCCAGCCAGATTTTCCTAAGTTAAAATATTGGCCTCATTTCTTCCTTGCTGTGTGGATTTGAGCAAATTACAAATAACCCTCTTTGCTTCAGTTTTAATTGTTCCTCAAATTTTTTTTTTTTTTGTAAATATTATATGGGTTAGGATCCATGTGTTTGGCACTTGTGTGTTTGCTACTATTATAAAAGACTGGCTCACCAGTGATCAGCATATTGCTTGGCACATTATAGGAGTTTAGTAATTATCTGTTAATCATTGAATACTGAAATCAGCTTTGTCTAATAGGGTATCCAAGTTTCTCATGCTTTACTGACCATTCTCTGTGGAAACAACATAGTTTTTGACCATCACAACCTATATGCTAGTCTGCTCGTTACCTCTTTCAGAGGCCCTGGGAAATCACATTTACCTTATTAAGCCCCTAGAGTACAAGGTTCTGCCTTGAAAAACTACTTCTTAACTGTCCCTTCTACCTCCACCCTGAGGGTGCAGCCTCCATGGACACTCTAGTTACCAGGGGGTGGAATGCAAGGTGACTACACAGGGGCCAGAGAAGAGAGGAGATGGTGGGGGGGCGGGGAGGCAGTGAGAGAGGGTAGAAGGGCAGACAGGACAGACTGTCTCTTTTTTGTCTTGCCTTTTATATCCTTATTAATCTGGCTGTCCCCTCAGGTCCTTTCTGGAAGAAAGCAAAGTCTAAATAAAATGTCAATGAAGTTCTTCTACCCACTTCTCTAACTTCCCAGATTACTTTGAAATCTGATCTTATTCTCTAGAACCAAGACTCACAGATTGGGACATTTGATGAGCTTTGTTGTTTCATCTCATCTGAATCCCTAGAAGTAGGCCCCGGATAGCATTTGACCATTCTTAGCCTTGGGTGTGGAAAGTTGGTGTTACGGGCTGAAGTTTGTTGCCCCCCAAATTCATATGTTGAAGGCCTAACCCCCAGCACCTCAGAATGTGACTGTACTTGGAGACAGGGCCTTTAAATAGGTAATTATGTTAAAATGAGGTTGTTAGGGTGAGCCCTAATCCAATATGACCCGTATCTCTATAAGAAAAGAGAATTTGGGGGATGCCTGGGTGGCTCAGTTGGTTGAGCGTCTGACTCTGGGTTTTAGCTCAGATCATGACCTGAGGGATCAGTACTCAGTGGGGAGTCTACTTGAGATTCTCTCCTTCCCCCCCACTCCTGTGCTCTCTCTCTAAAATAAGTAAATAAATCTTAAAAAAAAAAAGAAAGAAAGAAAGAAAAGAGAATTTGGGGACAGACACAAAAAGAGAAAAAGGTCAGCTACAAGCTGAGAAGAGAGGCCTCGTAGGAAACCAAACCTGTGGACACCTTGACCTTCGATTTCTTGCCTCCAGAACTGTGAGAAAATACATTTCTATTTTTAAGCCATCCAGTCTGGGAGACTTTATCATAGCAGCTTTAGCAAACTGATACAGTTGGGAACCAAAGAGGGCTGCCTGTGCATCACCACACTTAGGGTTATAAGGAGCTTTTCTCAGCCAAGAAGCTTTGTAGAGGGCCATAGGGAGCCTGGCTCCCTAGGATGGAACAACAGAGCCAACCCTTCTGCCCGCCACCCAGCTCCCTGCCAAGCTGTGTGTGGGTGGGTGGGGGGTCACTTATGCAATAATTGGAGGCAGCCAACACCACAACTTCTCACTAAATTAAGTCAGACAGGTGATTACCAACAAATGCTCTATATTTAAATATCACCCAACATTCTGTGCATGGCTCCATAACAAAGAACAAGTCTAGGAGTCCTTGCAAAGCTCTGTTCCAGAGGAATTGTCTATAAAAAAAATTCTCCGGGGGCGCCTGGGTGGCTCAGTTGGTTAAGCGACTGCCTTCGGCTCAGGTCATGATCCTGGAGTCCCGGAATCGAGTCCCACATCGGGCTCCCTGCTCGGCGGGGAATCTGCTTCTCCCTCTGACCCTCCTCCCTCTCATGCTCTCTGTCTCTCATTCTCTCTGTCTCAAATAAATAAATAAAATCTTTAAAAAAAAAAAAAATTCTCCGAAGGTTATTTGTCCTCATTTACTTCCATGTAAAAAGAGATGCTTTTTCCTACTCTGGAAAAGCCTCCCAAGTCATTATTCCCATTGAGGAAGGGGTGAATGTGGTGGTCATTACCCCTCCTGCTGAGTGTGACCTTGTACCAGCGAATCCCTGAGAATTGACCAGGTGTGCTGGCTTTCAGAATTTTGCAAAGCTTTTCTGGGACTCCTATTTCTTCTTTGCTATTTTCTCAACTCACTGCTTACTTGGATTCTATGTCTATGGATCCCACCATCGTAGACCCTGGAGACAATGCAATTATACTTCAATAACTGATACCACCTTCATTCTGTTAACCTAACCTGTAAGCCCTCAGTCCTGTAAAATAAATTTCCAATGTTTCCAGTTCCATGCATCTGAAATTCTTCATGAGGAGGTTCATGAAATTAATGATGCTAGCAGAGCAGATGGTATTTCATAATCCATAGACTCAGCGGTACTACATGCAACTCTCTTTATTTCCCCATAAGTGGATTCTTTCTAGCTTCCCCTCCTGCCAATGGCAGAAAACTTACTTCTAGGACAACTCACATGTGTCAGTGAGTTTTCAGATTTTCCAAGTTCAAAATTCAATTAATTCAGCTTTGGGCTGTCCCCCTTTTCCCTAGGTGGGTCCATGCAAAGGGGTCTCTGCCTTGGAAGAAGACACCTGCCCCTTGAACCTTGCTCTGTCTTACGCTAACAGGATGCTGAGATGGGACCTGCCCCATCCAGGCCCCTCTGGTCATTCCTTCCTTTGACAGCCTTGGCCATCGTGATCTGGGGTACTGACAGATAGTGCTAGTTTTTCCCTCAACCCCCAGGCCCTTTCGGGTCTCGGGCACCCCCTCTCTGGGGCACTGTGGATATGGGATGCTCCCCAGGGGAGGTTCCCAGCTTGGTCTTTCCAGCTTGGACAGTTTCTCCTGGGCTGGCTCACCCTCCCCCAAGCTGGTGTCGTGTGGAAGGAAATCAGGTCATGCATGCTTCCCAAATCGTGCCAGGAAGGGGCCCAGGCTTCCTAAAGTTTACCAGGAAAAGACCTCCTCTCCTGCTACCCCCCAGCTCCGCCCTTCTGCAGGAGGGGGCAGAGTGGCGGGCCTTAAGCTTTAACTCTTCCCTCCCAGTGCTCCTTCTCCGCCCCTCCCCCATCCCGTTCTA